GTTTAAGGCAGGCCTCTTTGGAGACTGCTTTTCCTTCTTTGACAGGCGTGAGTCATCTATCACCGGACTAACCTTAGTTTCCTTCACGTTGATTTGCGTGTCGACAGATCGGGTGCTGCTTGACGCGTTCCGACTATGCTTGCTAAAGCACTTCTTTGCAGCATCAACCAGTGAGATGGCCTCGGTTAGCAAGCTGTTTGCATCCGAGCAGCACTGTTGACAAAGCCACACACAACCCTTTTTACTGTACCGTTTGAAAGCAGCAGGCGTTAAGTTCGTGCAGACTTCGTGGTACCAGCCTTTGCACTCGTCGCACTGCATCCCGCTTTCAACAGGATAGCGACAACCCGGACGTTGACAACTACTTTTTTACACTGTCCGGTCGTTTAAGAGGGGTTCTTTTTTCAAACTGTGATGATACTCAGAAACAAAAAAACCAGTTTTCAACGACCAAAAGTACTAACAGATACAGTTGAAAAAGAGGTACTCAAGAGTACCAACGACAAAACAGTAAAAACGATACTTTAATCAAATTCTTTAACTGAAATAAATTCAATTAAAGTGAAAACAATAGTCTTGATACGTAATAAACGATCAAAACAAACAAATTTACTCAGCGAGGAAAAATACCACTGTCCTTTTTAAATAGCGCGGAAGAATGATATCATCAACGAGTGGAATTCATTACCTCAACGCGTGAATGAAGCTCCATCTGTCGATGCTTTCAAAAAAGTTGAATTAACTGAGAGACCATAATTGCCAGGACTAACAAAGATCATCTAGCCTCTTGTCCTTTCCAAACTGAAATTGTTGTTGGACTTCAAGGACGATAGCATTTTCCTCTACGTTTGACAAAGGCGTTACAAAAGTTGGCGTATGCCCTTTGGTTAGTTTTTGGTGTTCAGACGTCCACTGCAGTATCCTACTTTTGTTATTTTTATGCTGTTTACTACCTTATTGACAGGTGATGATACCAGATTAGCTGATTGAAACTAATCTGGCTATAACAATTCGAATTTTCTCATAACTTAAGGCTTTAAAGCGTTATTATTGGTTGCTTGGGCATAAACAATTCTGTGGCACCTTGAGATGAGATGTCAACGTAGATATTGGTCCTTGGTTTCGAATTCTTTTGTTAACTGAGAAATGGTAATTATGGCCTTCGAAGACCATAATTACGTGATCACTTAACGTTTATGCTTTTGATATTTCAGCAAACCTCTGAAATATTCGTATTGCTGTATCTAACAGCTTGTTTTAGCACTCTTCGGATAGTACTAGTTCTAATAAAATCGCGTTAATCGCAATGGGCTATCATATAGGTTAGATTATATGTAGTCTTGTGAATCCTAGTTGCATACTTTGCAATCAGTATAATTTATTTATTTATTTATTTGAGCACATAAATATTGGTACAAGAGAGCGCCAATATATATGCGCCACACAAAACAATGAAAATTCGAAGAGAGAAAAGAAAAAAAAAACTAAGGAGCACAAAAGAAAAAGAGAACGATAACAAAGAGATTGGTGAAAGGTAGTGCGGTCGTAACGATGGAACGGAAAGGTACAATCGGAAGAAATCTTTCAAGTAAGGGAGACACAACCACTTTTTATGAAGAAAGTAAAAGAAGGTTACAGCAGGATCGCCACTGGCTTCTATTCTGAGCCATATCTGATAACGTCTCTAGCCACTGTGTAGCACCATCTCTCAGACCCCAACCAGGGAGTCGTGAAGGACCGACAGAAGCCAGTCCTTTGCAGCTTTCTTTCATACCACGACACCATGTCATGCACTGACCACCTCTCCGCTTTTTCCAACCAGTCCCAGAGTCGGCAAACAATGCACGACGTGGAATTCTCTGGGACGACATTCGTAGAACATGTCCAAGCCACCGAAGTCGGTGTTTCAAGATGGTGACACCAATTGAATTATCATCTCTGTGCCCAAACACACGATGCCGAACCTCTGCATTACTAACATGGTGTTGCCACTGAATGTCAGCAATCCTTCGGAGACAGCGATGATCGAACACAGAGAGTCGTCTAACGTCCTCAACTCGGAGAGGCCAGGTTTCACAAGCATAGAGCAAAACTGCTCTCACCGACGCGTTGTAGATCCGACCTTTTACAGCCAGACTAACATCACGAAGGCGCCAAAGGTGGCCCAGATTGGCATAAGCCGCTCTGGCTTTCACTATACGTGCATTGATCTCATCACTCACACCCCCACCAGCACTTATGCAGCTACCCAGATACACGAACTTCTCGACTACTTCTATCTGCTCACCATCCAGGGTGAGTACAGGATTGGAATCCTGCCAGTCTTGTAGAAGTACTTTGCACTTCGAAGGTGCAAAACACATACCATACCTACGGACACTGATTGCCAACTGATTAAGTGCGGATTGCATGCCTTGGGCATTATCGCACAGTAAGACAATATCGTCCGCATACTCAAGGTCGAGAAGTCTTTCTCCAGGCAACAGATCCACACCACCATTACTTACATTCATCAGAGCTGTTTCCAGAATGTCATCGATGGCAAAGTTGAAGAGGAATGGTGAGATTGGGCAACCCTGCCTAACCCCACTACTCGTATAGAACAATGGAGAGAGGTGGTTGTATGCCCTCACTCTGCCTGAGGTGTTTTTATATAGGGCTTTTAGGATGTTAATAAACTTCTCAGGCACACCCTTCTTCAATAGACAATCCCAGAGAACAGTCCTGTCCAACGAATCGAAGGCAGCCCTGATGTCAAGAAACACTACGATTGTTGGCCTTTGATAAGTATGGCGATGTTCTAACATTTGGCGGAGGGTGAAGATATGATCAATACAACCTCGACCAGAACGAAACCCAGCCTGCTCCTCGCGAGTCAATCTTTCTCGGGTTTTGAACAACCTACGAAGTATGACGGAAGCCAATAGCTTGGACGCAATCGGAAGTAGACTTATCCCCCGATAGTTGTTGCAGGAACGACGTGAACCCTTTTTAAAGATAGGGACAACTATCGACTCATTCCATGACGTTGGTACACTCTCTAATTCCCAAACCTTTGTAAACAACGTCGTCAATTCCTTAGTCAAAAAGTCACCACCATCTTTAAAAAGAGCCGGAGGTAAGTCATCTGGGCCAGGTGATTTGTAACGCTTCAAGAGTTGGAGTTCCTTGCGGACTTCCTCCTCGTTCGGTGGATCAGTCGTCACCGGCCATGGAGGGCAGGACAGTCTGACCGATGTTGCCGGAGCAGCAGGCCAGTTGAACTGCCCTTCGAAAAATTCTGCCCATCGTCCAAGACGTCGATGGATGTTAGTGATTGGCATCCCATCATCCTCGCAGATTGTTTCACTCACACCAGACTTCTTGCTGCCAGTGGCTCGGATGAGCTGGAAGAGCTTCCGGTAGTTACCAGATGCAGCTGCTGCTTCCATCTCATTAGCACGCTCCGACCACCAGGCTTCTCGGTCCTTACGCAAGCTTTGCCCAATTTCCCTACGTAACATCCTTCGTTTATGGTCAAACTCACGGTCACCCGGAGTCGACCGACGGGCTTCAATAAGTTGTAAGGAACCAGAAGAAACCCAGTGCTTATAAGCGGGACGTTTCGCAAACCCACAACTGACTGTTACCGCCATTTTCATGGCGTCATGCAATTGCAACCAATGCTCATCTATACTTTTCGGTGGAGTGGTAGCTAGCCTAGAAGCTAGCTCGGTTCGATACTTATTTGCAACAGAGGTTGCAACCAGCTTGCTAATATCAATCCTTTGGTGGTGGTCACTTCGTTGTCCACTGAAAAGTAAGGCAAGATTGGCGCAGACCAAGGCATGGTCAGAGTCCAGATAGGTACTCCAAAAGGAGCGGCAGTCTTTTACACAACCACGCCAGCGGAAGCTGATCGCGATGTGATCAATCTGAGTCCAGGCTTGGGATGCAGAGGGAGGACGCCAGGTGGCACATCGGCGATGACTGTGCCGAAAGTTAGTGCTAGCCAGAAACAGGTTGTGGTCTGTGCAAAGTTGCAGTAGACGGTCCCCGTTATCTGACCTGCGACCAACGAGTCCCCATCGGCCACCTAAACGACTCTCTTCTGTGCCTAGACGCCCGACCTGCGCATTCAAGTCTCCGGCTAGTACTACAATATCTGTCGAGCGCACTTTCTGGAGAAGAACAGACAGCTGGTGGTAAAACTCATCCTTGATTGCATCCGGGCTGCAATCTGTCGGGGCATAGGCGGAGATGACGAAAAGACATCGTTTCTCACGCCGATTTCTTCTCACTTTGATGGAACTTTCTAATCTAACAGCACATAACCGACTGTTAATGGGGATCCAATCGACTAGTGCTGCCTCAGCTCTAGCGCTTAGTGAGACACCAACGCCAGCAAGACCAGACGAAGATGCCACAGGGTCCCCGGATAAGCGCACGTGAAACAAGCTTTTCGAAGCGACAGATGGAGATCGAATTTGTAGTACTTCGCCAGAGTCTTGAATACGGGTCTCGGATAGACAACAAACATCAATATTGAGACTTTCCAAAGACATAGCCAGCCCTATCTGTTGTCCGACCTGCATTAGTGTGCGAACGTTGAAGGCAGCCAGTTTGAATGGTGCACGTGGTTTCAGAAAAACTGCTTCAGTTTTCGTATTCGGTGGTAACATACAATTTTCAACCGAACAGTGACTCGAGAACGTTTAGATACAGTCGAATTTCCACCAAAGACGAGCCGCTGTATAAGTATAAAAGAGGGTGAATAATGTGGAAAATAATAATAATAATAATAATAATAATAATAATAATAATAACAATAATAATAATAATAATAACAATAATGACAATAATGGTAATAATAATAATGGTATTAATAATGACAATAACAGTAATAATTATTTGAATCAATTGAATGTTGATCGGAGAGAGGAAATTAGTTGCCGTAGTCATAGAGTTCATTGTTTGTGTGTGGGCTGTGATACTGCCCGGGTGCCCAAACCGAAGCAGGTGGTTATCTTAGGGGGCCACACCCCGAGCCTTTGACCTAATGGTCTAACCCACAAGGCAGTGGAACATCGTGAGGAGATGCAATCCCATGGTAGCCGGTGACCAACGATTGGTTCATACGCCATTTGTTCCCGCAGGATACTGGAGCCCATGTGCACCATTGGTTTGTGATCCGGTTAAAGCGCCGGACGTTCGCTTTTCGTCCTCTCATTTTCGTAAACAACACCCCCGCCACGAGAAGGCAATGAGTAGGACTTCCCTGGCAGAGGCTGTATACGCGCGGCCGTGTGAGAGTATTTCGAGAGGGAGAGCGGACTCTCCCCACTCTCGGCCGTACCAGGGCGTTCGGGGGCAATCAGTATAAGTAAGACAATGGAGTAAAGTCTATATCGTCGTTAAATTCGGGAAGGTTCTGGCATTCATTTCTCGACAATAATGCGTAGTTTACAATCCCTCATTATTATACAGAGCCCTTATTCAACCTCAAAAGCATCATCCCATCGGTGTGTTTGTTTTTCCGGTAGTAACTGAACATTGATGTCAATTTAAGTGCTATAACTTAAACTAGCAAAATGACGATTACGTTCAGTCTAATGAAAACAGATTTTCGAGAAGAACGAAAGCTGAATATAGTGGTTCTTTCTTAATTGAACCTAATTCCACAACTCGGCGCATCAAATATAGTATGACTAGTTTTAACTTACTTGTATAGTACGTATGTCTATCTAATTTTTGATGTATGTGAAATCTTTCTACACTTATCCGTTAAAAACAAGTTAGTACCCACAATATAGCATCACATTCATACATTGTAAACGCAACACAAATACGCGGCCATGTATTTTGTCATCTTAACTAATAATCCATGTTGTCCGGCTTGATAAAATATATCAACATCGCAAAATGTGACTAGTAGTTTGGAGTTCAGTATTATATCACAAATATAAGGCCGGATATAGCTGCCGAGAAAGTCAAGGGCAACACTAACAATTAATAGTAAAAAGAGGGAAGTAATAAGACAGTGGTAATGAACAATAAGAAAAGAGCTTTAAAATTTTGTTTCCAACCAAGTTATCTACAAAATAAAACTAAAATATGTCTCTAACTCCAAAAACGTCTGTCTGGAGTTGGTCCAACGTGATATTCTTGAAAACACTTGCTTATAGTTTCTTCCCCTTACACACTTTTCCACCTAGTGACCTACTTTAAAATGATTGTTTATCTCTATCGACAGTATTTCTCATGAATATAATGTCCTATATATATATATTAAGACATCATTTTCGAATGTACAATTGTGACAATATTATTATTGATGTATAAATATTCTGTTCTAAATGAAATACTGAACTCATTGCTTTTCATATCGATCTACGGACGCTGATACATCAAGATAACGGACTTAAATTCTGATGTTTATTACTAACTCTGTTTTGACTTTTCCTTAACTACCTTAGCGTACAATGACGTCTGAACACATTGGAGTTGTTGATGCTCTCCCCTACTTCGACAAAGGATACGATGATCCTGGGATTAGAGAAGCTGCAGCTCTTCTCGTCGAAGAGGAGATGAAGCGATATAGACCAACGAAAAATTATCTGGAACACCTCCCTTCTTTATCTGGTCCTATTCAAATGAAGTTTGAGACTGAGGTGATGAAAGCTGAATTTGATAGGCTCTCAAATCGTTTGCCTATGGAAATGCTAAGTATGAAACGTTACGAGCTACCCCCACCCCCGGCTGGAAAAATGACCGATGTGAAAGCATGGCAAGATGCAATGGAAAACGCTGAAGTATGGTGTTTTTATACCTAATTTTTTTCTCAAATAGGCACAGTTAGAACACCAAGCAACAAGAATTGAGAATTTAGAACTAATGGCAGATTATGGATGTAATGCTTGGAAGCAATACAACAATGTTTTGGAAAGCTCTCTGCAAATTTACGAGAAAGAGCTCTTAGAAATAAGGTAGTTTGTGATCCTCCATGAATAAACTCAGCTTGTTCGTCTTCGACAGCTAATTATATATATGCACCGTTTCCAAAAAATCCATCTCTTTAACACAACATATAGGAAGCGAATAAGAATTAGATACTTAATAAAAAGTTTAAATAACAAACAGATGGTAATTTCGCCCTGCAGACAAAATCTGATGTAGCTCTTTATTGCTGTGCAAATGCCTGTGTCTGATGCCGGTATGAGGTAGTTGGCAGAGGTCCCTTATTTTGTCTCTTGTGGTCAAGCCTTGAGAAACAAGTTCGTAGAAAAACCCGGCAATTATGACCAGGGTTACCCTTTTGGTTATAAAATGTTTATTTTATGAGGATTAATGGTATTATTTAGCTTCCTGTATGTGAGCCCACCATTTTCTGCTTGAAAACCAAGTTTTTAAACTAATGGGCCAAGCCCAACTAACATGTATTCACTTTGTAAACAAAACTCGTAAAATGTCGAAGTCACTACTCACATTGAAAAATCAGCAATCCCTTTCACTAATTCCATGCCCTATCCCTGCTTTCGTTAGTTTGTTTCCAACTCTAAATTAGTCAGTGGCTGAGCTTATGTCGAGGTGTGACTAACATCATTCTATTCGATAACAGTATATGTTATCTTAACATTGGTCACTATCGTTCCATAATGCACAAATACATCCGACTTGTCCCACTGTCCTTGGATTCGGGTAGAGGTCTGTTTTACACTTTTCCACCCTACTGGTTGGGATGCAGATGCCTTAACACATGTATGTAACTCAGGTCGACAAAAGATCTTTCAAATCTTGTGAACCCGCGAGTCACTAATATGAGGGCTTCTGCAGTATACTTGGTAGATTATGTTGTTTTCGCACCCAAAGATTTCGTTCATTAATCTTAAAAAATATTCTTATTCATATCAGCCTAAAGCATAATTTTAGACAGGTACGGAGAGCTGAGAAAATTTCAAGATTTATGTCTGCATCTAAAATTATTGTAGGTTGACCAGGTAATGTTGTCAGTTTATTAGTCTCCGTAAAGTTAGAGCTAACCAGGGCTGAATTCGTCAGTATATTTATAAAGAAGCCGAAACTGATGGCGCTCGACAGTATTATCTGAAATACTCATCAGAAGATTCCCCATATGCCCTCGCATGACTGCCTGTACTCCAGTAGAATGCTTTCAGAAGTATGATTAGTATACTTCTAGCATTGGTCTCATGTCAACAATTACAGCCACTATAGGAAGCTAGGGAATGCTTTTATTCAAAAACTTGGGTGGACGGTTAGACTTGACCGACAGATCATCGGTCGGGCTTATAACTCAATAAATGTTTTCTTTTCGGGTATCCTCCTAATTTTAATGTTGGTCAGAAGCGGGCCATTGTCTAGACACGTTGATGTGTTCGTTTGTACAGGATTCCTCCCCATTTCTATTTAACTTTGTCATAGACATGCTTTTAGAGATAACACTTATCCTCTGGATTTTCAGGGATTGATCTTCTACCAGGAGATTCACTTGTTGACTAAGAATGTGCAAATGATATAGTTCTGTTCGATGGAAATGCTGATAAAGTGTAAAGCCATCTGATCACCTTAGGCACTAATCCAAGCATTGTTTGGGATGCCGTTTTCTCCCATCAAATACAAAACATTACTTCAGGATTGACTTGCGTCATCATCCTAATTAGTGATAGGGAGTGAAGTAGTTAGACATATCGACCGCTTCAATTATCTTAGGAGTCTCGTCGGTACTGGTGAATGACGAAATCTCAAAATGAATTAAAAGGGCTCGATTAGCTTTTGCCAGCTAGTGGCGCAGGCAAGATATCCATCTCTCAACCGAAGAAGTTTATTTTGCCGCAGTTTGCTCCGTTCTACTTTATGGATGTGAAACATGATCATTGATGATACAGAATATTCACAGGTTACTGGCATTTGATCGTAGGCGTCTACGAATTCTTGCTTGTTTATCTTGGGACCATGGTGTAAGCAGTGCCTGAGTTCGAGTAATACGTAAATATAGGAAATCGACTGGGGCAGTAAATCCTCATAAACTGAGGTAATTAGGATGTGTTACGTATGCCAGGCCACTTCCCACCTCGATGGGCACTGTTTTCTAGTACAGGCTAGAAAAAGATAGGGGGACCAAACTATAATATGAAATCAGTCTACGAAGTCACTGACAATTGGACTTAACCATACTAAAGGGTATAGGCTACCTGGTTGAGATGTGCGTGATTATCGTAACCAGTGGCTAGACTTTGAACGTCATAGCTCAAAATCGTTTTCACTGGCGCAGATGCATCCATTCTTTGTCTTCCCCTTAATTCTGGATTTCTCATAGCTTTGCTCTTATTTCACTAAGTTATATTTTGTTTCCGAAGTGTATCTCCGATGCCTAATCTTTCCTATTACCACTGATACTGTGCTAATGGGTTACGGTAACTCGAACCGATGTATGTACGTACAGGTTCTACGTTGTGACTGACTGATGTCCCTCCAGAATATCAGTCTCTACTTAGGCATCTTAATCGTGTATTAGTTTCTTTTTACTAAAGCCAAACTTGTGTTCTTACAATAAGTTTCATATATTTTGATAAAAATCCGCCTGATATCGCTTAAAATGTTCCCCGTCGGTTCGCAAACTGGAGTAACATGTCGATCTTACAATGTTACGGTTTCTCGCTAAAAAGCCACCGATAGTTATCAAATGGATTTAGGTAAAGATGCACCCTGGAACCTGATATTTTATAACATTTACATATACAGAACTGTATTGACACAAGTTATATCAGTTTTATGTATATATATTAGGTGTTTTAGGTCAAAGGAAATGCACTCCAATCTTCTCTGTATTTCAGAAACAATATGGTTTTATTGCTCAAGAATACAGTAGGAGATACTGTTTTACTCTGCAGGAACCTATGACATCGAAGGCTTTAAACTAGTTAAGGAGACTTGGAATGCTAATTCCCAGGTTCGTATCATTAACGCTGGGTGAGAAGTTGGGAAGACGATATTTTTGGGTAGCAGAAGTTACGACGGAAGCGAAGATGACAGTTTCAAAAGTTAGTAGTGGGAGGGAACCATCAGTGTCTTTATGAATGTTTGTGATCTTTTTCCCACCTGAATGCACTGCGGGGATTAATGTACTTTCAAAAACTCCAAAAGAGCGTGACTACATAGATTAAAAAGTATCCGTTTTTGATGTTGATCACACACTCTCAGATATCTTAGTGGAGTATGGGTTTCGTCTTCCCTGTAGTATTAAAAATCCCAAAAATATGAGTCAGAACATATGTATATTTTTTAGAATTTTGGTTCTATGAACAAGTGGTTACAAATATACAGTTTATAGAATCAACCTTTATCAATCTCTAATTATCCAAAATAGAATGTTCCCATCTCTGGAAGTGCTTATCATATGAGCACAAGACATTATTCATCCAGTATTAAGAAGCAACTCTTAAACCTTCGTTACAGTAAAGTTAGTCACATTGTGTTTCTTAATTTTCATTGAAGTTATACACTTGGCAAGTTTGCGTTCGTCCAGTAAGTTGTTACTCAAAATGTTAGCTCAAAGATTTTTTAGTTCTTCTTGATTCATTTAGTTTCGTTTTACGTTTTAAAAGGCGAAAAATCCAGGAAATAAACTGGCGCCGTAAACAAGAGCAAACAGCTGCTGGAAGACATCTCAAGGAATTAGAAGAATCGTGGGTCGGTTTGGTTGGCAAAAACTATGAAATCGAGCAAGCCATATCAGAACTAGAGCAGGAACTAGGTGTATTTTCAGAACCAATGGATAGTGAAGATCAGTGAAGTTGTATATATATGCATATTAATATACTTTATTTTCTAAATGTAAAAAGTAGTCATTCTGGCATTTCACTTAATCGTAATCACAATCTAGTTATCCTCTTACTGATGATGAGACGACTGAATTAAAAAACACGATAGGATCACACAAAGTGATCAAAATGATGCTTCGCTCATAGGATCAATCTTTAAATCACAAACGCGTATATTTTAGAATACAGTAGCACTAGCCAAGTAATTGAACTAATATAGGAGGATTCAAATTGTTCCTTTTTCACGAAATACTTAACCGAAATAGTGTGCCTTCCAAACGGTCAATCGATGATGGAGATATAGGTCCCGAAGTAACCATTTCTACTAACTGTATCATGATTTTATATTTCCACTACATATTTCATACCAATATTGCAAGCGATAGTTAGTGACGGTAGTTGTCGAGATAAATAACTACTTTCGTAATATGCAACAGATAAACGTAGGATCTGTTACAGTTGTTTATTGCTTCAATTACTCACAACCGACGTTACATCAAGAGGAAACCACTTAGAAAAGCAGGTTACTGAAAATAATAGGACTAACGGAGTGCTAAACTCCCTTTGTGTATTCAAATGTAGTTTGTTTTCACCTTGAACTCATCCTAGTAATATTAACTTATTATCCAGAGTGATGACAATTCAAATTTCTCTCATATTATTTTTTTATTATCCTTGTTTCCGCTTACCTTCCATTTTTAGTCTAGTTGACCTTTTCTTTCTATATATAAATGTCCCGACCGAAGTTGCTACCTTGACGCGGTGGTCGGGCTTGCCCATCGTGATGACCCAACCGAGCTATATTGGCTGGAACATATGTTCCTGTAGGTTCTACCATACCAGGCAGGTCGATTGGAGAACGGTAAGACTAAAAGCAGCAACTCAAGGTCTGAGGGTGGAGTCGTACTGCTGACTGTAGAGGGGTGTGACAGCAGTAAGGTATTTCCCTCGGACAACCAGCATATGCAGCGATGCTGCCTTCCCACAAGGACGGGTGGCGTTAGAAAAGCTCGACCCTAAAAATGTCACACATCACCTTACCTAACGAATTTCCGTCTCCGGCGGTAAGGCACTTTGAAGAACGGAGCTAACAATTTAAAAACCTTCCACGAAAAGGCTGTGCGCGACTGGCCTTAAGCAGTTGTCCCTTGGGCTCTGCGGTCACGCTCCCAGGTCGTTAAGATTAACACTAATCCAATTTCCTTTTCAGGTTCCTAAAGAAATACCCTTCCACGGTGTGGGCAGCCGGGAAGTGATATCAGCCCTCATACCCGTAACAGCACACAAGACCAAGTTGGTCACATTCAAATCCTTCCTACTCCTCCTAATACCAGTAAGGTGTTTCCTTCGGACAACCAGCACCGTCAGCGATGCTGCCTTCTCAGAAGGAAGTGGTTAGAAAAGGTCGACTATAAAATGCCACACCTCGCCTTACCTCACAGCACACGAGACCAAGTTGGTCACAAATAGATCCTTCCTATACCTCCTAATAACTCTTATCTCTACTACTAACCCTCCTCACGTCTCTTTATCACCTCCCACCGCTAGGGTAAACGATTCGAGTACGCGGAACGCTATTCCTGGTCTCCTGAAACCACGCTCTAAATTACACGTAGGAGCTTTTAACGTCCGAACACTGCGCCAAATAGGACAACAGGCTTCCTTAGCTAGTACTTTAGAATCTTGCGCCATCGATGTGTGCTGCATCTCCGAAACGCACATACAGGATCCGAGTAGCGTCATTCATTTGACATCACCATGTCAACATAAAGAACCGACTCGATTCACACTTCGTGTATCTGGAAGCCCTGATTCTGCTTTCCGTGGTCTCGCCGGCGTAGGTATAGCATTGAGTCCTAGGACAGAACTAGCTCTCTTAGAGTGGATCCCAGTAGACAGTCGTTTGCGCGCTGTCCGACTGAACGGAACAGTAAGGATCCGAAAAGATAGGGACACTCGTCGTTGCCTCTTCGTCGTCTCTGCCTATTCTCCCACTGACTGCAGCGCATATGATGTAAAAGATGAGTTTTACAGAAAGCTCTCCGACCTCCTCCTAAAAGCTAGGCGCTCTGATGTAGTAATAGTGGCCGGTGACTTTAATGCTCAAGTAGGTAAACTGAGCGAAAGGGAAAGACACCTGGGTGGATCTTATGATGTCGTGGCTCATGGAACAGATAATGGCGACCGTCTGTTGCAGCTATGCTCAGACAACCGCCTCTTTCTTGCAAATACTAACTTTAGGCATAAGCAAAACCATCTTTTTTGACATGGCGACCCCGAATTCTTCCCAACGCTGGACCCAACATTGCTAACAGCCACCGATAGAGGGGCTCGATAGAAGACTGTCGCTCGTATGCGTCTTGCTGGACGTAGAAAATATTCTGCAAGGAAACCTCTTAGGGCAGACTAGAGAAGATCAGGCCGGTTTTCGACCTGGACGTGGTTATATAGACCAGATATTCACACTACGTCAGGTGTTATAACATAGACACACATTCAGACGCCCCACAATCGTAGTATTTCTCGACCTTAAGGCGGCATTCGACTCTGTTGATCGTAAGGTTCTATGGGAGTGTTTGTCACTGAAAGGAGTAGGCGTAGACTACCTGGTTGGGATCCGCGAGATGATAGCAACCAATGGCTGGAGACCTTGAATGATATGGCTCAAAATCGTTTGCAAAAGCGCAGGTGCATACACTCTTTGTGTTCTCCCAAATTCTAATCTTCTGAATTCTTCATGTCCGTTATTTTCTTTCCAAATTTATTTCACTTGATTATACTCTTTAAATAACATCTTTAAACCCTAATTTTTCTGATTACTGCTTATACTTTTACCACCTCTACCACAGAAGGATTCGAATCGACAGCTGCATCTCTGTGCTAATGTGGTATGGCGACTTGAACTGATGTACGTACGTACGAAGCTCTACGTTGTTACTGACTGACTTCAACTCTAAACTTCCTCCTTCGCCTCCCTCGTCGAGTGTCTCCATAGCCAACGATTTTACGGCACAAAACACCGTCCTAGATCTACTGAAACCTCGCTCCAAACTACACATTGCAGCCTTCAACGTACGCATACTATGTCAACTTGGTCAGCAGGCTTCCTTGGCTAGAACCCTAGAATCTTGCACCATTGATGTATGCTGTGTCTCTGAAACACACATACAAGATCCTAGTGTGGCCATTCACGTGGCCTCACATCGGCAAAACGGAAAGCCGACGAGATACACCGTCCATGTATCTGGTGACCTGATGGCCAGTTCTCGTGGACTGGTAGGTGTAGGCATAGCACTTATCATCCCAATATATAAAAGGGTCAAAATCATCCTGTGACAACCATAGAGCGATTAGTTTGACTAATATAGCATCTTAAACGATAGCCTCGATAATTATCGAACGCCTAACTAAGACTCGTGAACTGCAAATACGAGAAAATCTGTTTGGCTTCAGACCTAATCGTGGCTACATCGACCACATATTCACTATTTGTCAGGTTTCAGAACACAGGTATGCTTACCGGGGTTCGACAATGGTGGTCTTTCTTGACTTAAAAGCAGCATTTGACTTTGTAGACCGAGAGGTTCTGTGGCTGTGTCTGTCATTGAAAGGCGTACCTCAGAAGTATATAAACCTTGTGAAGGCTCTCTACTCGAACACTACTAGTCGAGTCAGAGCTTATGGCAAACTGTCATCTGATTTTGCAACCCTAAGTGGTGTCCACTATCTCCATTTTTGTTTAATTTCATTACATACCTGCTGCTGGAAATAACCTTTTCATCGACTGAACTTTCAGAATTAATCTCCTTCCACGAGGTTCACTTATCGACTTGGAATATACAGATGACATAGTCCTGTTTGGTGAAGACACTGATAAAATGCAGTGTCTTTGGTAACACTGAGTGACAATGCCAAAATCTTTGGAATGCGCTTCTCTCCCTCTAAATGCAAGTTGTTGCTTCAGGACTGGCCTGCGTCAACACCTGAACTAAAAATAGGGAGTGAAGTAGTCGAACGTGTTGATAGATTCACTTATCTTGGAAGTATGATCATCCCTAATGGGTTGGTGTTTGACGAAATCTCAGCACGGATTCGAAAGGCTCGCTTGGCTTTTGCCAACTATGGAAAAGGCGAGATGTCAGTCCATCAATAAAAGGACGAGCATACCTCGCGGAAGTTCGTTCTGTTTTACTTTACGGCTGCGAAACGAGGCCATTAAGAGTTGAAGATATTCGTAAGTTGCTAGTATTTGACCACAGATGCCTTAGGAATATTGCTGAGATCACCGGGTGAGTAATATTGAGGTTAGGCCCAGGGTATTAGAGAATGATGGTAAATCCGTTAATGAGGTTGTAAATCTTCATGGACTGAGATGGTTGGGCCGTGTTGCGTATGCCTGGACACCGATTACCACGACGTGCAATGCTAACCAGTGTTGGGGATTATTGGAAGAAAGTTATGTGTGGCCAAATCAAAACATGGCATCAGTGCTTGAAGTCACTAACTTATGGTCTGAGCCATGTTGGTAGATGCAGACTACTTGGTTGGGGTCCGCGTGACTATCGTAACCAATGGTTAGAGATGCTGAATGACATGGCTTAGAATCGATCACGATGGCATAGGTGTATACACTTTGTTTTCCCTTAAACTATGAGATTAAAATCGCTTCATATCTTTCTTTCTACGTACTAAATCTTTGTTCCTCTAATATACCTTTATATGCAATCTTTCTTTTATATATTACCACCATTGACATAACTACTTCTATGAATCCGGTGTTCATCTTGCTGTGCTAATGCGGTTTAGCAACTTGAACCGATGCATATATGTGCCTAGTCCTACGTTGTAGCTGACTGACTGAGTCATCGCGGTAGACAAGCCCAACCACCACATCAAGGTAGAAGCTACAGTCGGGAGAAAACAGTAGGATGACGATCCATAGGAAATCCATTCCTAAATGTAGTTATAACTCAAGGAAATCTTTTGACATGAAAGGTCTTAACGTGTGGACAGGTTGTTT